CTCAGTAATTAGTTGGTGCTTTCCATGATGGTATGAAAAGTGAGCTTTAAAAACAGTTTGTCTCTGGAAATTCAAATTACCTCCAACTACTGTTGTTTTGTGTGTGTTATGTGACATTTCAGATGAAATAGCAGGGAAGCCCCATGGCTGCTGACTAGCACATAATAAGTATTCAGTAAGTGTTGCTCCTTGTCCCCTTGAAGGATAATTGTCTGTGGCTGTTTTCCAGAAAAACGGAAAAATTTGGTTGAGGGTGTGTTGGGAAGAGGGGATAGGGTTTGGCTCTAGCTGAGACCCTACTTGGTGGGGGTGCCACATCCTCGGTCCAGGTGACTTTTCCAGCAATGCTTTGGGGGGGGTGGTACCCATGTTTACAGATGAGCAGTGGGGGCCCAGAGAGGTCAAAGTGCTTTCTCAAGGTCACTTGGTTAGGGAGCAGCACAACCAGATTAGGCCCCTGAGCCTGTGGTTTTAGCCTGCTCCATCGACTGTCAAAATCAACTCAGGAAGCAGTGCACTTTTATTTGAAGTGAGGGTTGTGTGGCAGAATGTTTGGAAGCGTCTTTGTACACGTGCGTGCATGTGTGTGCATGTACGTGTGTATCCACGTGTATGTAGATGGTGCTTGTACATGCAGAGCTGCTCAGTCTGAAATCCACCCCATGGGAAAGCTGGGAGACATGTGTGACTTTGTTGTAAGCCGCTACTTACATGTCACTTTTGGAGTGTCCAGTCAAAAGGCTCCAGTGTTATGTCTGGATTATTCAAGTCAGGAAATAAAACTGGGAGGGAAGTCATGTACTTGCCTGATGCATTATTAATAAAGCAGAGGAGAACCAAAAACGCAGTGAGATCTTTGGAAAAGTAATTTTAACTTTGATGTGGCCACGTAGATTTTAGAGGGGAAATAGGGTCATTTATACCAAGTTCCCTGAGCCTTCAAATGAAGCAGAGAAATTTATAATGAAGCCCAAAGGAAATAATTTTGACAGACACAAGCCTGTAGTTTCCCATTATTAAGTGGATGTCTTCCCAAAGAATAAAATATTTGGTAAAGTATTTTCCTTGTACGTGTTCTCAGCAGCACGGGGAGTACTTGAATGACAGCTTCGGCCATGCTCTCCGAGCGGCAGGGCAGAGGAAGAAGGCCGGCTCGTGCTGTCCCAGGCACAGCTGAGGAGTGTACTGGCTGTCTGTTCCTAAAGAGGACTGGCTTTTGAGGTGCCTACTCTTAGAACACAGTTAATGGTTTGCTTGCTTAACGTAGATCATGTGGCAAAGTTTATAGAGGCCTGGTTCGTCCCTTTTGTGTGTACGTGAAATACATATACAGCTTCTCTTTCTGGGGCGGCGGTAACAATGCGCCACAAATAGGGGCGGGGTGCTGGAAACACCCAACTTTATCCTGTCACAGTCTGGAGACCAGAAGTCCAAAGTCAAGGTGTCAGCGGGGCTGCATTTCCTCCAGAAGCTCTAGGGGAGGATCCTTCCTGACTCTTCAGTTTCTGGCGGCTCCTGGTGTTTCTTGACTTGTGGCCACATCACCCCTTCCCTGCCTCTGTTGTCATGTGGCCGCTTTCCCTGTGTGTGTGCTGTTCTCTTCTTATAATCTAGTACAACCTCACCTTAACTGAATATCTGCAAAGACCCTATTTCCAGATAATGTCACATTCTGCGGTTCCAGGTGGACATAAATTTGGGGGGGACATTTTTCAGTCCACTACACCCAATAAATAAAATATTTAGCTTAAAGATGGATTAATTAGGATAAACATTTTATATGCAAAATTTCATGAAATAAAGAATTATTAATTGAGTGGGGACCTACCGCCTAACGGGTATTGCAACCCAGCTTCAGCTGACATCGCAAATACATGCAAATGAGGAAGTAGACAGGTTTGGGCGTTGTGAGCACGGAGTCCCATAAATTCCCAATTTCTCTGGTCATTAGAGGCTGCCAGGACTTTGTGCCAATGGACATAATATTAGACAGGGCCATAGGCATTGGCCCTGTATTGACTTTCTCCTTACCTTATGTTTTTGATTGCTTTTAGTAAGTCTCAAGTATTACCCATTTGAGTCCATTGTGACTATTGAGTCCCTAACAGGGAACAGAGTTTCCAACAGCCTGGCGTCTGGTGGGTGGAGTCAGTCCCCTGCTGACCTTCAGCACCTGGGCATGGTTCTCACAGAGCCCCCAGCCCTGCACCTGCAGGGGGCCTGCTCCTAGCACAGCCCCTGAATGAGAGCTCCCTGTGTTTTTGGGGTGCCTGAATGGAAGTGTGTCTTAGGAATACAGATTGTTATCAGAATTTAATCCTCAAAGTCCAGAGTCAAGGATTCTTTTTGCTATTTCCCTTTCCTGGTATCTTCTCAATATTATTTTATTTTTGTCTTTATAACCAACTGGGCCTTTTTCTTCAACCAGAGTTTAATAGTACAGAATTGTGATGATGTGAGTAATATGAAATAGCACATGCCCCAAAGACTATAAAAAGAAAAGCCACGTTTATGAAGACAGGTGGGCAGGAAGCTGGCTCTAGTTTAAAGCTTTGTCCAGGGAGTACACAGAAGAAATGGATCTGGTCAGTGTGGATTTGGGTTTCCACAAGTTCCTCCAGCTCTGAAAGCGATGCCCTGCAGGAATTCTCAAAGCTCTCCCTCTGGACTCACACTCTCTTCCCTCCTGGAAGCAGGGCTGTATTGCCTCCTGTTGCCCCCAGTCAGAGGGCCGGGCTGCTCTCATTTCCCACTGTCACTCAAAGACCCCAAAGAACCCAAGGGTCTGGGGAGGCTTTGCTTTTGGGGTCCATGAGTGAGAATGTTCCAGTATCATTTAGCTCCATTGGAGATTAAACAGTGATGCATCAATTGTGTACAAGTTAAATAAAAATAGTAACAGCTTCTGTTGGTGCTCATATATAAGCATGAAACCAGGAAAAGACTTTCCTTAGGAAAGGGAACTTTAGATTTATCTGTAATGTTTTATTTTTTCAAAAATTTTTTATTTTTTAACCAAGTAATGTAGTAAATAAATGCAGTGTGAACGTCAGTAGCGCTACCCTTCTAAGATTCTTGTCCCTAGAGGAAAACCACTGTCACCTTTTAGGTCTTTCTTCTGAAATGTAAGCTGATGTATCTAAACAATGGCATATATTGCTACTTTTGATTGTGCCATTTTGGATTATTTTTGACTTTCCCTTGACTTATGCTATTTGATAATTTTTTCTTTGTTTTTTTTTTTTTTCTGTTCTCTCTTTCTGGAATTCCTATTGTTCAAATATTGGGCCTCTTAGATGAATCACCCAGTTTCTCATTTTTTATCTCCTATTTTCTGTCTCTGCTTTTTTGTGGTTGTTCACCTTCTGGGAGTATGTCCTTAATTTCATCTTTCAAAACTATGGGGATTTTCCCTTAATTCTGCTCTTATGCTTGTAATTTCTAAGCGCGCTTGCTCGTTATCCAGATGTTCTTGTTTTGTGCGCACCTGCTCTTTTGTGGATGCACCATCTCCTCCCTTCTGAGGATACTGATCCTAGGTTATCCCCCACAATATGTCTCTTTGGACCCCCTGCCTTGTGCCTGCCGCCTCTGAGCTCACTTTTCTTTCGCTGGGCTGGTTTCATGCCCAGAGCCTTTTCTCATTGGCCTGGTTTGTGACCACCTGCCGCATTGAAGAGAGAGGCCCCAAGCAGGCGGCACTTTCCCAGGAAGCACCCCACGCGGTGCTTCCACGTGGACCATTGCTGGGAGCTGCTCATTTTCCCGGGAATCCGCAGTTGTCACTGTCTGTGGGTCTTCACTACTGAGCGGATGTTTTCCTAGAGAGGAACCCTTTGTCTCCTGCTTACGGGGTGTATGAGTTTGCTAGAGCTGCTGCAACAAAACATCACAGATGGGCCCAACAACAGACGTTTCTTTCCCGTGCAGTCCTAGAGGCTGGAAGTCCAAGATCAAGGTGTCTGCAGGTGGGTTTCTCCTTGGGGCCCCTTCCTCAGCTTGTAGACCTTTCCCTGTGTCCTCACGTGGCCTTTTCTCTGTGTGCCCACATTTCCGGGGTCATTTCCTCCTCTTATGAGGACACAAGTCCTGTCATGCCAGAGCCCCACTCTCACGAGTTCATTTAACCACAGTCGCCCCCGTAAAGGCCCCTCTCCACATGGTCATAGTGAGGATCAGGCTTCGGTGTATGAATTTTGGTGGGACACAGTTCAGTCCATAACATGGGGTGTAAACTGGTTACCTGTGTTCTGTGAGCCCGGGTGGGGGTGCTGGGGGGCCTTGTGCTGAACGTTGACTTTTACTTAAAGCCCTGGTTCTGGGTGCCTCACCCCACCCCCATTTCCAGCTGGGCCGCAAATCCTGGAGTCTGGAGCCTATCTGAGTCTTCCTCCCCAAGAGGCATTTCTTGTTTACTCTTGGGTCGGGGCTGGGGCACTGTTTGAATCTGGGCCTGGGGGGGTCTGGGCTGCTCCTCAGGATGCCTGTCACACCCCTGCCTTCTGCAGGCCCCCCTGTGCTCCTCAGAGTAGTGGGTCTTCCCATTCCCTTTCTCTGGAGTTCCTGGCTCTGTACCCCTTCACCTCCCCAAAAAGGCTTTGATTTCAGCTTCCTCCAGTCTGCAGAGTGAGTTAGCTCTTGCCAGCCTGCCTTCCAGCCCCTCAGTGCTGCTGGCCTCGCCCTTCTGCGGGTGTTTCTGCCTCGTATTTGTCCTTGTGGGGCTATTCCTTTTATTTTATTGTCATTGTCATGGGCTCGGGGCAGGAACAGAGGGAGCAGCGAGTGTTTGATCTCCTGTGTCCAAGCAGAAGTCCCATGTACCTGGGAAGTGACTCCTTACATGTGCAGCGCGTGGTGAGCTCGCCGAAGGGCAGGCTTGTGGACACGGTGCGTGTCTCCGTATTAATCTCCACACGCTAGGAGGGTGGGATGGCATGCGTGTGACCTTATCACAGCACAAAGTTCACGGAGTGACACTGTGTGCGCCTTTTTTCTTGCAGAAAACCCGGAACATTGGGCTCTCAGGACAGGAGCTGATGTTCCAGCAGCATCGTGGGCTGATTTCATTGGGGCCCGGGGAAGACTTTGTGGAAATGAGCGCTGCAGGGAGGTAAGGAGCCTGCTGGGGGGGGACAGCGTGGCTTCGGCTTAGTTTCCAAGTGAGTGCACCCCAGACAGATCACTCGGAGTTCGCATCACCATCTGCTCGCGTTTTGAGTCTCAAGTCAAAATGTTTTTCCCTTCCTCATATACATTTCCAAGTGTTTATCATTATCTGATGTGATATTCAAGTCGATATGCTGTTTTGCCTAAAATTCAACAACACTTCTCTTCTTCCTGTTCCTTCCTGTTGTTTCAACTCATATTTTGACCTTAATACCTTGTCTTATCAGTTTTTAAATAATAAAACAGATTTATTCCCCAAGTGGGAATCTTCCTAATTATTTCCTTAAACTTTTATGGGTAACGTGTATGAATTTAGCGAAGCCCCATGGGTGAATACCCTTCGCCGTTTCATGTGCTCTGTCCTATGATGAGCAAAATTAATGCCAGAGTCCATAAAAGAGCCATGTCGTGTGCCTCATAAAACTTGGAGGAGGCATAAAATCCCTCTCGTGGCTGTTGGTTGTCATGGTTACTGTTTGGGAAATGCTTTATTATCAAATCTCAACCCCTTCTTTTTCTTACCAGGATAATAATCTGGAGATTTGTGACTCTCCGTTTGCCCCTGGTGTGTACCTCTCTCTCACCCTATTAAATGCCTGGCCCCGGCATGGGAGTCGGACACAGGGGTGCCGGGGGGTGGGGTGTGTGGCGGTGGCCCACCCCGTGGCCGTGGGGACGTGGGGGGGTCAGGCTTGTCAGGTGAATGACAGTGCTTGGGGGAGCCAGTGTTAGACCACAGGCTGGGGATGACTCAGCCGAGCAAAAGAGGGAAAGGAGGATTATGCGTAGTCTGAGGCAACATGTAGCAGACAGGGTGCTGGGGAAGGGTGAAGGGGCATGCTTTGTGCCCCCGAGACCGAGTGCCCTGGTAGACCCCTGGGCTGGCTGTGGGGAGCCTGATGCCACCCTGCCCCAGGACACCGTTTCTAGTTCTCTGAGCTTCCCTGTGAGGGGACAGTCCCCAGTGCAGGGAAGGGGCGAAGCAGGGCTGGCACTGCGAGTGCCTCCTGGCCTGTGAGCGCCTCCTCTGTGTCTTGCCCCTCTGTCTCCCTCTCTTCTCCACGGGCTCTGCTTTCTCCCTGACTGGCCTCTGCCCAGTGTCCCTTGGGGCCTCTGCTTGGGCACAACTCAGCTTCATGACCAGCCCCCAATTTGGACGTCGCCCTGATCCCCAAACTCAGAGTCAAGGCAGGGCTGCTGTCATCTGGGGACCGCCGTGCCTCAGGCTTACCCCACTGTGTGACTGGAGCTGCGGCTGTGGGGTCCCTTAGCTAGGACCTCCCAGCGCCTGGTCTCCCACTGTTGCCCACCCTTCCCTTCTTCCCCAGCCTCCACGTGGCTGAGGGGCTTGGATTTCTTACTTTTCTTCTTTATCATCTGCCCTATGCTGGTCACGTTGAGGTTTTGTGCATGTGATCCATAAGCAGAAACACTGGAAATCTTTAAAAAAGCCAGGTGGAAAGGGAACTTTGTCACTGAAGACTAAGCTTGAGGATGGAACCCAGTTTCTGGCTGTGGGGCCGAACCTCAGAGCCAACTCCCAAGGCGCACGTGCATGTCGACTTGGTCCCAGGGGAGCCGAGTGCCCACTGGCACCAGCGCTCTGTTCCCGGTTGGTGTCCTGGTCTAGGTCAGTGGCCTTCTGCCCGAAGGCGGGCAGAACCAGGGGCTGCTGCTTGGCCACAGCCATGGGGGAAGGAAAGCACAGGCTGGGTGGGTTCACAGATCGGAGTTTGGATCCTGGCTCCAGCCCCTGGCAACGCCGGGATCTTGGGCTGGTCTCACTGCCTCTCTGAGCCTCAGGTCGCCGGTCAGATGGAGGTCACCATGTGCTGTGGTCAGAGACAGACAGGGTGACCCGTGGCACCACGCCTGACGCATGGCCAGCTCCCAGTATTATTTGCTGTCATAACTATTACTGGTTTTAACATTGGGATTGCCCCGTAACTGTGAAATTGACTTTGCTCTGCGAGTTTGGGCGACGTTAGCGCTGACGTGTCCTCAGAGCTCCGGAGCCGGAGAGGGGAATAAGGACGCATCGTCGCCGCCCTCCTCCGAGGTGTCAGGGACGGTTAAAGAGACAGGAAAGAGCTTCGAGGGGTCTGACATAAAACATCCCCGTGGAAGGCAAACGCTCCTTGTAGTTACTGGTTCTCGGGGGGGGGCGATGAGGCCGGAGCCTTCTCTGGAGCCATGCCCATCGCCATGAGGCTGACACGTCTGGAGGGCAGTCAGCAAGAGGTGAGCATACCCTCTGTGCCCGACTCGCGGATGCATAGCAGGTCCCCGCGGTGCCACCGCCGGGGCAGGGACCCGGAGGGACTCTCTGTTGAGGACGCCTCTCGGCCAGAGGGGTTTGGGAGGAGAAATGATGAGAAGAGGGAGCGGCCCGGGCCATGGCCTCGGGACTCTAGCAGGGAACTCCAGAGGCAGTGCAGGGGCACCCAGCCTGTGCCGGCATGGCCAGGCCTTGTGCAGTAATGGCCCGAGCGCCAGACGCAGGCCCTTGACCCTTTAACACTGGGTGGCGTGGCCGTACTCTGTTCTCCCCATCCGTTCTGCTGTGTGAGTGGCTCTTTCTCCTCACAGTAGAGCGGAGTCAAACAGAACAGAGACAGTGCACAGCAAGGCTGCAGTGCCCGGTTTCTCAAGACAGGTTTTTGAGTCTCTGGGTATTTGCAGCATAGTGCAGTGCTGATCAGTACATTCGACTCGATAGTGTTACCTGGGGGTGTTGCAAGTCTTGACGGTGCCATGGACTGAATGTTTGTGTCCCCCCCTCCCCCACCCCCATGTTCCTGTGTGGAAATCCTAATTCCCAAGGTGAGGGTGGTAGCAGGTGGGGCTTTGGGGGGTGATTAGGTCATGCGGGCGGAGCCCTCATGGATGGGGTTAATGTCCTTATAAAAGAGAGCTCCCTTACCTTCCCTCTGCCATTCGAGGCTACAGCAAGAAGGTGGTCCTCAGCAACCCAGAAAAGGTCCCTCAGAACCCGACCATGCTGGCTACCGGATCTTGGATTTCCAGCCTCCAGGAGTGTGAGAAATAAATGTCTGTTATTTATGAGCCCCCCCCCCCCCAGTCTGGAGTAGTTGCCTGAACTGAGACAGTGATTTCTGAATCACAGAAAGGAGAGTTGGTTATAATCATGGTAGCTGCCATATTTTGTTGTATTTGATTTTTAAGCACTGTGCTTAGAATTTTATGGAGATTATCTGTAATCCTCCCCATGATCTTGAGGTAGGTGATGTTCTTCCCAGTGGATAAGGAAATCCTTCAAGGTGGCTCCATATGCGGTAAGGGGCGGAGCCACTGTGAGCTGCTCATCAGCTCAGCCCCAACAACTTGCTGGAGATTGCACCCGACAAAAGTGCCCCAGTTCTGTGAGCCTGAACTTCTTCTGCTGAATAACCTGCCCTGCCCATTAGCTGCCAGGCACATGCAGCCACTTAGATCAGTACGGCTTCTCCAGAGAAACAGAACCAGTAGAACATACGTATATCTCTATCTCTGTAGGTATAGATACAAAGAAGAAGAGACTTATGCCAGGAATTGGCTCACATGGTTCTGGAGACTCAGAAGTCCCGGGGTCTGCCATCTGTAAGCTGATGGGGGGACTCAGTCGGAGTTGGGAGGCTGAGAACCAGGACCACCGAAGTCCGGGGGCAGAAGATGGACATCCATCTCTAGAAGAGAGAGCGAATTCATCCTTCCTCTGCCTTTCTATTCTATTCGGGCCCTCACCAGATTGGATGATGCGGCCCACATGGATGAGGGCAGGTCACTTGACTCGGTGACTGAAGTGAATGTTAATCTCAGGCAGAAACACCCTCCCAGACGCACCCAGAAGGAGTGTTTGACCAGCGATCTGGGCTTCCCAGAGCCCAGTCAAGTTGATACATAAAACTAACCATCACACCATTCAAACTTAAATTAATAAAATTGAGTAAAATATAAAAACCCAGTTCCTCAGTCACACAGGCTACCTCTTGTGGGATGAAAAGCCACGTGTGGTGAGCAGCTGCTGTTTTGAATGGTGCGGAGGTAGAACATTTCCGCCGGGGCAGAAAGTTCCACCAGGCAGCACCAGACGAATTTACATCATTATCTTAAATGGGTTTGTGGGTTTTCAGAGACCCCTCCATTCTTAGAGATGGAAGTTCTTTAAAATAAGTTGGCCGAGGATGTCTGAGTGGCACAGACTGGGCCAGCTCTTGGTGGCCGACCCTTCCTGAGGCCTCTGCCCTGGGCTGGCTGTGTCCACAGGCTCAAGCTGCACAACGTCTGTTTGCCCCCCGTGCTCATCTTAGCGTCCAGGCCTTGGGGGTCAGTCCCTCGCAGATTGGAAAGCAGTGTGTAAACTTCTGTTTAAAATCTGGTTTCACGAAATGCAGTCCAACACCAGTAAAAGCAGGGTTAGTATTTCTGTGTCCCTAAAGTTGATGTATGTATGAGTTTCCTATGGTTGCTGTAACAAAAGACCACGGGCTTGGTGGCTCAAAGCAGCACGTTTATTGTCTTGTAGTTCTGGAGGTCGGAAGTCTGAAATCAGCTTTACTGGACTGAAACAAGGTGTTGGAAGGGCCTCACGGTCCCCAGAGCCCCTAGGGGAGAATGCTTTCCAGCTTCTAGAACTGCACTCCTTACAGACCTTGGTGCATGTCTCTTCCTTCCTCTTCCAAACCAGCGGCATAGTGTTTTGCTTCATGTGACACCTGGCCCTCTTCTGTGTCAAATCTCCTCAGTTTCCCGCTTATAAGGACCCTGGTGATTGTATTTATGACCCACCTGGATGATCCTGATGATCACCCCATCTCAAGGTCTCTAACTTAATCATGTCAGTGAGCCCCTTTTGCCATATGAAGAAACATTCACAGGTTCTGTAGAATAAGACCTGGACATCTTTGGGGACCATTATTCAGCTGACCACAGGTCATAAAAAGA